GTGAGATACTTTTTTAAAATCATTTTATACTTGTGATACCTTGGTTAGGTTCTAAATAAATACTATACTTAACAGCACTAAAGGCTGAAGTCATTGCCTTAGGCCTCCATCCAGAAGTTGCAGCAAAAGAGCTTTAAAATGTGAAACATTTTATTCATTACTCCAAACTGAAAGGTTTTGGCCTTAGCAAAGACGGTAGCAGATTATAACCAAAATATCTCAGATGTGAATATTAAAACCTTGCAAATTATTTTTTTAATGACTACTCTAAGTTATACGAAATGGTTATAACATTACAACATGAAGTATGTACTGATGTTTTCAAGGAATTAAGTTTAGCTGGTGCTGCCGAAGGCCATCCTATTTGAGTCACTTACAGAAAAGGCAACCTTTAAGGGCATGAGGTATACAAAGCGCAAACCAAATTCACAGGCCACCTCCCTTCCCCGCTCATTTCTGCCCTGACGTTGTACAGCTATAATTGAAAGCAATAGATGTAGCTAACGTAGGTGTGACTCATTCGATGGGAGAAACTCACTGCTGCCAAACCACGCTGGTTTTTATCTACAGCAGGCTACCACGAAGACGCCTAGAGAAAAATTCTCTTTCCAAAATGGGAGATTCAGCTGAAGTGCAGCTTACTTTATTAAATCTAGGCTTTAGCACTTAATTTTGAGAGACTTGTTTCTCCTGGTTTCTACAAATTGGTATGATCTGGATTGTAACAAAGATGGTGTGCCAGAAAAGGCAAGTACCAAAGGATGGCATTTTCGAGGATCACTATCAATGAATGGAATGTCCTTCCAATTCAGGCCTGAGGTTAACAAGCTACAAATGTGCTCAAACACCTGTGTACATGTGCGTGTGTGAATGTACACGTATGATATATATATATAAATAGTATTGTTTAAAAAAAGAACTTTTGTTTTCAAATTAGAACAGTTTCATCAGTATGACACAAACCCAAGTGTACTTTTCCACTTTAGCTCTCCTCCAAGATTGTTAACAACAAAGAAGGATTTAATCAACAGGACTTTTCCACTTTAGCTCTCCTCCAAGATTGTTAACAACAAAGAAGGATTTAATCAACAGGAGGGACAGTCCCAAAGCGACCACATTACTACACGGCAAAACCAAACTTGATAGCACAATCTAGGTTTCCAACATGTGAACTTAAGCCCTCCCCCAAACCAGATTAAATACATCTTTAACGTCATAATTAATTTAAGGGAATATGATTCTGGAAAAATATGTGCTTGCTGTGTCATAATGCTAGTGCACTGACAGCTTTGTTCTGGCATGCCAGTTTGTTCTGTTTTGTTTTGCCCTGTTTTGAGGAACTGTTTTCAAGGCCCATTCTCAGACATGGCTCTTCTTTTGGCTTCATTTTTCTCAATACTGATGCCGCCCTATTGGTTTCACAGGCTTATAAATGTTAAACATCGAAAATTAGTTTCACTTATTATGGTTGGAAAAGGCTTTAAGAACTCTGGGGTCTGTGCCTCTGAGCAAAGGCTTTATCAGCAAGTCCCAGTCACTGCTTCTTAAAAAAAGAAAACGGTACTGATTAAAAACCCATATACCTGATTTCCAAAAGGACACCTACCATGCACATATACATTTAATTCATAAAGGGTTTCTGCCCCAAACTCACAATTACTTACTTTGCAAAATCCCATCTTTCATATCCACAGTGATTCGCACCAAGGAGATAAACATGAGAAACTAAACCTCAAACTAAACTATTCATTCAAGAATTCCATCTTGATTACTTTAGGTATTCTTCGTGGGTGTTTAATTAACACGGCATCAGTATCTCTCCAATGTCTGTGTCTGACCAGCAAAAACTTTCCAGATGTTTTTCCACTTATACAAGTAAAAGAATAGGGCCCAAATTATTGTTTTTCCTTTTAATCAGAATTCTTTAACCCCACACTATATAAATTTCTTTTACTAGAACAAAGCATTATACTTGTATGGAAGTAAAAATAACACTTGGGGAAAATGTTTACTATCCTTACAAGTGCTAAAAATAGTATAAATTCCTAAAGCAATCTCATTCATATGTTATGAAGTGTGACAGGAAATAACTCTTAAAATGGAAAATACCTGGCCAGTATTATGCAATTCCCATTTCTAAAATAGCAGTCTGACAAAACAAAACACAGAAACTTAATATTCTCAAAGGAAACACAGATTTCTGAGGCCTCGGAGGCACTACTTCTGTTCCCTCTGACAAGCAGCTTCCCGCGGCAGGGAAAGGAGAGCTCACGCGTGGCCACTGATAAGGCAGACAAGGAGGGAGTGAACATGCAACCCTGGTGGACACAAGGCCACTGCAACCCCAGCCCTCCCAGCGCATCACTTAGGGAAACTGTATCCAATTCCCAATTGACCAGGTTACTGAGAGATTTAGTATAGATACATAAAAGATTCTAGAATCCGGTATCTCACTGAAGGCACATTTTAGATCTGATTTGCCAGGTAAAGGTGAAAAGTACAATCAAATAATGTTTTCAAGATCTTACTGTAACAATAATTGCCTTGAGCAGGAAAACAATCAGCAGTGAATACTAAAACTAGCAAGTAAAGAACAGTGAGGAAAAGCATATTTACAGTCTCAAATCATCTCCCACCTCTCCATACGATACTCATAATTATATAGGGAAGAACAGTAACGTTATAGAGGGGAAACCTGGAGACACCACCTTACCCAAATAATCAAAGGAACATAAGCAATAAATTGGACAAATAGATATCACATGCCTCCTGATATCTTGCACTGAGAAGGACGCAGTATCATTTCTGTCATCTTCCTGCCAAAAAATGCATAACCTGAATCTAATCATGAGGAAGCATCAGACAAACAAAAACTGAGGGGCATCCTACAACATAAGTGGCCTCTACTCTCCAAAAATACTAAGGTCCTGAGAAACAAAGACAGACTGAGGAAACATTCCAGATTAAAGACTAAAAAGACATGACCAGAAAAAAGAAAATTTTCTTTTGCTATAAAGGAAATCAGTGACATATTTGATAAATCTAAATAAGGTACATAAATTAGAAAGAATGGTAAAGCAAATGTTAACTGTTAACATTTTGCAAATTTTGCAACTTTCTGAAAGTTTGAAATTATTTCAAGATAAAAGATTTTTTTTAAAAAAATCAAAGTGTTCAACTCTTAAAATTTTAGCATTACTAACTTTACCTAAAAGGAACACAGTGCTGCAGTAAAGTAAATGCTTCTCTCTGAATTCCCCTGGCCTCTGGTATGGGTGCTAAAAAACAGAAAGAAGACAAAAAGAAAAATAGCCAGCCATGGATGGAACACGGGCAGCCCACATTCTAACGTTATAGACCAGGGCTGGCATTACTCTTTCTTCCTTTAGCAAGGCAAAGATCTGAGGAAACTTAGTGACTGAAGAAGCCACTACAATGACTAACAGCTAACACTGAAATCCTACTGAGTTTGTGGTACCATTCAACACACCATCAAATTCACTGCATTCAAATGTAATACCTGAATCTTTCTACTTGGAAAGAGAATAATAAAATGCTATTATACTCAATGAATGCTATAATCAATGAAATCAAAATATGGTTATTTTAAAGATGAAAAGAGCAATTTTCAAACTGAAAGCACAAGAATATCATAGGCTAGGAGGGATGAATGAATCTTACCAAAAAAAAAAAAAAAAACCCTTTTTTAAAATCTCACATTTTTGAAAGGCCACATAACTGCCATTTATGCTGCTTCTTACCTAGGTCCCAAACTCAAGCTCACAGCTTACTAATTTTCTTTAGATTAGCCATTAATAAATGCACATACATATACATAAACATTATAAATGGAAGTATCAATATCTAATGTGACAACTGACTTTAAGGCTTAGGGGGAAAAAAAAGACAACCTGTGAATCCCTAAGCCTTGCTTCTGAACTGGTTTTCTCCCCTACATGAAAGTATAAATCCCAAAAGATACTTGTGGCCAGCAACCAAAAAGAGAAAACAAACAAGCCAACATACAGCCACCAATGGTAGATGTTTTGACATCAGCAGATGTAAGAGTGGAATGGTGTTTCCATAGAAGAATTTACTGAAATAGTAATTTCACCACTAGTCTTAGTTTAGAAAAAATGTTCACAAAAATGTGAATAAGAAAGATCAGTGCATGTGCCAAGAGTTTACACAGGTGACCGATGATATCCTCTATGTAATTAAACACCATGGAGTAGTTACAGTTTAAGAATGAGGCAAAGAAGGTAGGGATATATTAAAAAAGAAAGCTTTGATAGAGCTTTCTTCCTAGAAACTAGGACAAAAAAGATTTACAAAACAACGACAAAAAAACATATGCCAATTATGAGCTCTTTATGTGTGACTTTACCTAGCGATACCTGGCAGTCATTCCTAATTGGAGGAATATTCCTCCCAGAGGGTGCAAGTGAGAACCTTCTGATGCCTTGGTACTTGGAAAAAGAATATTCAATAAACCTACTAGTTTTATACTATAGACTATAGGTTTTAAAAAAAAGGCTGAAAATTCTTTAGGGTTGAGGCAACTACTTAGAATATGCAGTAAGAAAGCATTCTGGGGAGCAAGGGTTAGGAACATGTTGAGAGATGTGACATTAGAACACACGGCTGCCCTCAGGGAGAGTTAAACTGAGTTAAAGATGCAAATGGAAAAAGAAAGCTAGCCTTTTAATCATAACTGGCAAAAAGCTCTCTGAACTAGATGAAATCTAGGGGTTGAATATTAATCATGGATTATTTCCAGCACAAGATTTAGATCAGAATAATTTAATAACATTAAAGACAAAAATAAAACCCAGCATTTCGAAATAAAAGGTGGATTTAAGAGGGAAGAAAACGGACAGAAAGGAAAATCTTAGGTCAAATATTTGAATACTGAACTTACCCATGATCACAGAAAGAACATACGCTCATTTTAGAAGATCTGGAAGCACAGAAGAGTGTCATAAGTTGGGCTGACTCACCTCTCGAGTAGCTAGCTGATTGCTGAGCTCCTCAGCCTTCTCAATGTTCCACTCTTCCACAGCCTGGTCTATGCTCTTTTCAAGGCCCGACTAGAAAGAAAAGAAACCTAAAAGTTAGAGGCAAGAAAGAAAGGCAAACATTTGCTAGTAAAGACGACGTCACAGGACCACACCAAACACATTACATATTTAGACTACTTAATTTTCACAATGATCGTATACGGTAGTTGGTACCACTCCCATTTACTGATGAGAAGGTGGTTCAGAGGTATTAAATAACTTAGCCAAGGTCAGATCATTTCTTGAACTAAGAAAAAGGAGATGCAAATCCAAACTTCTGTGACCCTAAGGACTACGTTTTCCCTTAATAACAATATAATGCTAATGATAATAAGTTAGAAATTATGGCATGCTTATTATGTGGTACACCCTGTGCTTAGTACTATAAGAAAGCTCATTTAATCCACATAACAACTCAATGAAATTATACCGTTATCCTGTTTTGAACATGGAGAAACAGAAGCTTAGACTCACTAATTTGGCCAAGGTCACAGCGTCTGTTTTGAACATGGAGAAACAGAAACTTAGACTCACTAATTTGGCCAAGGTCACAGCGTCTGTAAATGTTAAAGCCACCATCACATGAATCTAGGTTTGCCCAGAGCCTGTATTCTAAACCACCATTTTCCTCTGCCTCTTTTCACTATGGCCTATTCCTGTAACTTGAGACTTTCATTCAACAGCCCCTCCTAGTCTCTGATGATGGGATGGGTACTAAGTTGGATATTAAACATGGGAAGAAAGTTATATATAAGAATGATTGTACTTTCCTATGGAAATGTTATTTACTAGTTGAAGATACTTCAGGAAATCACAATGAAAATTTTCATGGGATCACCAAACAGGCTGTGTAGGATACATCATACTTTATGGAAAGATGCTTCTTAGAGTTAAATAACTGAGTTTTAGCTTATGGAAATAGTTACTAAAGAAAATATAACTTTTTAAAAATAGTCTAATATATGCTTCTTAGAAGAAAATTTTATCCCAACGATGGCTTATCTAGCATATCTTCCACATTTTCAGTTAATGGACTTCTCCCTCCCTGACCTAATAAAAGAAGTCCAGGGCATGTCTCTTCCAGCAGTATACTGCTTGATTATACCAGTCAACTAAGAGAAACTTTGCTCCCATGTAGCCTTTATTGAAACAAGATTTTAAAAATACCCATACAAAATCTGCCTAAAACGATTTTTGGAAACAAAGACCAGCAAGGTTGTCACTGATGTCTACGCTGAAGTGAAGACTGTTCCTTCTCACGATCCCTCATGCGATAACCCAAGGGCCTGGAGGATGATTAGGCTTCTTTTACTTGCTCCCGACTGGAGCCTGAGACTGGCATTCCACAGCCTCTCAGAGCCTCAGAGCCCAGGCCGTGCTGCTCTACTGTCCTTTTCCCATTCTGGTCCTGTGATCATCCACCAGTCTCCAGAAATTTCTCTTTTTTGTATTTCTGCAGAATTCTTCTCCTGATAGTCCAAACAACGTCCTGGACTCACTCTTCCAACATCCTTCATTTTCAGTGCCTGCTAAATAATACCCCACCCCAGAATCTATACTCAAGGCCAGGGATTCTCCAAGTGTGGTCTGTGTATCAGGTCAGGTCTGCGAGTGATGCCAGTCTAGGAACTGAGCTTCTGCCAGTGTGCAAATCAATTACATGACTACGCACAGGTTTGTCTAGCTGACCTTTTTCAGGGGAGGAAGGATATGGGATGGGGACAACAAGACTTTCTCAAAGAAGGAAGTAGTACACTGAGTTACACTCAGGCACAAGTTCTTTATTTCCTGGAAGCCCAATACTTTGAATACGCTTGCTCTAGGCCATGTAAGAGCTTTACAATCTAGGATTCTCTCTAAACACAAGATTCTGTCCTTCCACTTACCCCAAGTCCTCGGAGCCAGTGAACCGGCCTTGTCTTCATTTGGAACCCCATACTGTGTCACCATCATATTTATTCTCACAGTCCTTCAGCCCCTTCCTGGAGTCTCCTATCCTGCCTCTCTGGTCTGCAACCCATGATTAACCTTTCCAAACTAGACTCTAGGCCAAAAGTTCTCAAAGTCTGAGCCTGGACCAGCAGCATTAGCACTACTTGAGACCTTGTTAAAAATGCAAATTTGAATCAGAAACTCTGGGGTTGGGGCCCAGAAATTCATTGATTCTAACCAGGCTAAAGTTTGAGAACCACTGACCTAAGCAATACCTTAGGCAACTAAGCAACTTTCTCCAACATCACATCTTGTTTTGGTTGTTCCCAACCACTTGTTTCCACTACTTTAACATCTAGGTGTCCCAGCAAAGTCAGAGAAAATCAAATGACTCAATTCACTGGCTTTACTAAATGCTCTTTATCAAACTCAGCTGGGTGGGCTCTCAGTTCTGCCCTTGAAAGTTCCCACACTCCTTTAAGAAGTTGTTGCATGTCTTTTTCATTTTTTCAAATACCCTCAACCCTACCTCCTTCCTTTTCAGCAGATTATAACTCTACCCCTACTTCATGAGAGGCTGAGGTGGTGGGAGAGAGGGAAGAGGATAACCAAGGGTACGTATGTACTTTCTATAATCTTCCTCTCACCCGCTTCTCACTTACTCTGTTCTTCCATCCTTATTGCCTCCAAGAAAGAATCATCTCTCTTCCCAAGACTTATCCCACCTCCTGTGCTCATCATAATTCCACCTGCTTACATGTTATCCAGAACCCTTCTCTTTAAATTTTCTCCTCTCTCTCTCTTTTCTCCATCTTTCTTTCATCCTATAAATAAGCTTGTCCTCCCCAATCTGGACCAGGGGCTGGATGAGATGACACAGCTCACCTCCCTCAAAATGATTTCTTCTTATGTCGGTACTTCATCTCTCTCGAAAGCAGTATATCAGTCGTCCCGTGTCATCCCCCATTCTTCTCTATTCCTTCTGTCCTCATCATTCCTCTGAAACTGCTCCCTCTACAGTCATAAATGATACCATTTGTCCTCCCATCATGTCTTATGTCAACTACATCCCTCATTCTTAAAACTATCTCCCCAAATGTCTATCTTAACTCTCCTCTGATGCCCCTTATCTCCTCCTGTTGTCCCCTAATTATAGCAGTCCTCAAGGTTCTGTGATTGGCCCCCTTTTCTTCTTACTCTTCCCTCTCCTCAGTATTATACTCGATCCTAGGCCTTCAATTATTTCTTATAAGCTGCTTTGTATCTCTAAATAATTCAAAACACCTGACCTCTCCCCTGTACTAAGACCTGTGTCTCCAGCTGCTTGCTAGTCATCTTCATGTTGAAGGCCTTGCAGAGGCAGGGTCTTCCATGTTTATCATGTGGAAAAGCAAGCTTATCAATTCCTGCCCCGACTCTCCTTCAGGGGTGACCCCTAGTCACCCCGGAGAGAATCCTCCGTTATATTCAACGCCTCCGATCCCTGGCTCTTATTTTCACTCTGTTTTTGTAGTGTTTCTCATGTCTCCCTTCTGGCTTCCTCAGGGCCTCATCACCTCTTGTTTGTAAGGTTTCAACCCTCGTCAAACTAGTCTTCTGTTTTCCTAAAGCAGATCCCATGTCATTACCCAGCTCCAAACACTATCACTTCTTTCCTCGTTTTGAAGAGCACCCAAATCCCTTCACAACAGGGTCCCCAAATGCTTTCTCAGCCCCATCTTGGGCAAGGCTGTACTTCCTATGCTCTGGCCACATTTACCAGTCTCTTCATACTCCCTGTGCCTCTGGATGTGTTTCTCTTTGAAAAATCTTAACCACCCTTGTAAGTCTCATGTCGAATGTTACCTTCTCTATCTCTGCAGGTTCCCTCATGCCTATACACCCGCTGACCCCACAGCACCCTCCCCGATGCCCAGTACCTAACCGCTCCCTGCTTGCTGCCGTGCCTGCACGCCACGTCTCTCTCCAGCACTTTCAACTCAGCAACCTAACAGCATCCATTCTCCAGCCTGTCCTGCTTATTCCACATAATAGGTCTGCTTGTTTCCCTCTAATTATTTAGGCTTCCTGAGATTATTTAGGACCTGGGTGCTGTACACCTTTACTCCAGGCCCTAGGATAATGCAGATCTCTTTTTACTACCAATGCCCAGGAACTAAACCAGCAGTCTGCTTATTTAGTGAGGCATTTCGCTGCAGCAACTGGCTAACTTAACTCCCTTTGGTTGCCACAGAGCCACAGCTTACAGTTAATGTCACAAAGTGGAAAACAAGAACATTCCCCTTTTCTGGAAACTTATATGAACTGCTGGGCCTATACGTATAATTTTCACTTAAAAATAAATTAGCTAAAATTACAAATCTCTCTCTCCACCATCAACTAACTCCCATTCCCCCAGCCCATTCCAAGCAGCATCTAATATAGTGCAAAGAGTGCGGGACCAGGAGTCAGAGGACACAGTCACAGCGCCAGGTAAAGGAGGTACTTAACTCATAAGGCTCCGTTTCTTTAAAGAAAATGAGAGAATCAGCTTGGATGACCAAAATTCTCTCCTAGAAATAAAATCCGAGAATTCCACTTACATGGTCAACTTTGATTTTAGCTCTTTTAAAAGTTTTTTTTTTTATTTCAACAAAGTTTCGCTACACATGACTGTTTCTTTTTTTCCTCCCTTTTCTTTTTTCTTTCTTTCTTTCTTTTTTTTTTAGCAATTTATTTAAGTAAAATATAATAGTTCTTTTTGGCTCTGAAAAATTTCTGGTTCCATAGGCACACCCAAACTCTCTGCTTCTATAAGAAGATACTAACATTCCAAACATTTTCAAAATGCTGTTAAAACAAAAAAAAACCCGGAGGTAAAACATTTCCATCACCTTAAGACTAAAAGTTAGTAATAGTTTACAAAGAACATGGTTGCTGAGGTCAGACCTGGGTTCAAATTATAGCTCCTCTACTTACTGGCCAAGAAACTCTGGGTTTTGTCCCTAAACCTCTATAAGGTTGCAGTTATCTCACCTGTAAAATGAGAATAATGCCACATTCTTTGCAAAGTTATGGTAAAGGTTAAAAAAAAAAAAAAGTAAAATACCTAGCAAAGTTTTTAGATCATAGAAGTCATTCAATAAATAAGCTATTTACATTATATCTATCAGGATACCATTAAAACAAAAAGAAGGTTCAGCTCTATATTACTACAGACCTCATTATAGTTTGTCAAGGGCTCAGACCCAAGTATAAGACCCAAGATTTCAACTTTGAGTCAGTAAGTAGTCTCATGAAATACGATTTGAGTATTAAAGCTTTCTAAAAGTCTTAAGTTGGACCCCAGAGTAACCTTTATTGGAATTATCTAGGGCATCTTTCATACCACAGGAGTGGCAGGGGGCACAGAAGCACTGCTGATACTCTGCAGGTCCTCAGCATGCTCCTAAGAGGCCTTCTGGCAGGAATCGAAATTTAGCTTCAGATATGCCTCAGTACAGACAAACTTAGGGATGGCAATTTGGCCCCAGGTGGAAAATCATCTAAGGCCAGTATCTGACAGGTTCCCATGAGGCAATAAGTAAGCTCTTATTAACAGTTTTGTTGCAGACGTCAAGGCAGTACTATAAACATCTAAGAAATTTATGGGTATTAGGTTTAACATTAAGGACTAACCATCCATATGTGTGTAGTAAAACTTCTTTTAACATACCGATTAAAGCTCTTTAAGTCAAACTGTAACAATATATTTCTAGAGAAATTTTGCTATTAAATATTTCTTCAGATAACATATTCAATTTTCAAACCTTAATACAAATGAAGTGTCCACTCAAGTTTGTTGTTCTATGATTAGACCTAAATACCTAGGGGAAAAAATTAGGTAATCTCTCCATAAAGGAGGAAGAAAAAAAAGAACTAAGAATTAAGTGCTACTACTTTTACATAAAAATCACGCCTACCTAAATTATTTGAATCAGGTAAGTAAAAAACTAAGTTGGACTGTTACTTCAGAACAATCTAGATTTGGGACTATTTTACTTTTCAACCTGCTCTGTTTTCTTAGACAAATCATGCTAGGCTTCAGTTTTTTCATCTGTATTGTGAGAATATACTGGCCATACTACCCACCCGACGGGGATCACATAAGGATGACGAGAGAATGGTTTGTACCTGATCCCAGGGGAACAACATGGTACCTCTACACCCCACCATCCACCCTACCCACCCAACACCCACCCACTCAAGGCAACCAGCCTGTGATCTTTGTATTGGCGCTCCGTGTAAGATTCTAGTAAGAAAGAGTATTCTGCTAAAAAAATAAGTTTGAAAAAAGCCGTACTATACAATAGCAGCTTCCTCTCATAAACAACTAAAAATTATCAAAGACATTGTGCAGTTACTCTCAAAATTTTTAAAAGTACCTCTGGTTTTTCTTGCCAAAAAGTATCCATTAAGTATACATAAAACTACTTTCAAAAATGACTGCTGACTAATCAAACTGATTCAACTAAAGAATACTTGAGACATTTATAATGAAATTGAGTAAAATTTATTCTAAAGAAATTCCCACATAGACACAAAACAATTGTTATGATTACAGAATTATTGATAAGTGCCGGAACTGCTACCATTAACACAATTATAGCTGTATTTAATACAAAGAACACTTTAAAACAGCTTTGGATATTAGGAAGATTACATTTTAAAAATATAAGTCTCTCTGCACTGTCAGGGAAGCAGGTGACAGCAGTGTTGTAAATACACATCCTTGGTTGAGCAACAGTTTTGGCTTGGCAGTGGAGAAAGAAAGAAAGAGAGAGAGAGAGAGGAGAGAGGGAGAGAGAAGGAAGGAAGGAAGGAAGGAAAGGAGGGAGGGAGGAAGGAAGGAGAGAGAGAGAGAGAGAGAGAGAAGGAAGGAAGGAAGGAAGGAAGGAAGGAAGGAAGGAAGGAAGGAAGGAAGGAAGGAAGGAAGGAAAAGAGAGAGAAAGAAAGAGAAAAAGAAAAGAAGGAAAAGAATAAAAAAGAAAAAGGACTACACGATAGATGTAAGAAGTTTGTTTTGTTTTACCATTCTTGAGAGTTGAGTGATTGAGCGAAAAGAGACTAAAAAGGGTCTCTGAGATATGGTAACAGATCAGCCTCTGCTCCAGAGAAGTAAAATAATGGACTATAAATCCATGCTAGTTTTGTCCATACTGCATCACGGATTTTCATGATCCTCTCTAGATTTCTTGGGCAGTGCTATTATCTGCTGAACTTACATTTATTCTTAGCATTTATCTTGGTGCCCCCCGTGTGGACATTCTTTAATGTCTATTTACTCTGTTGGATTCACAGTAGAGACTTTAGCATGACAGCAAAAGGGGCGCATGTGAAACAGTGATCCCAAACCAAAGAATGAGTGTGAACCTGCTGGCATGCAGTTAAGCTGAACTACCAAGAGAATATGAGATAATCTGGCTTCACCAAATCCTTCCTTTCCTCTTATGTTTGCACTTATTTATAGAATATTAAGTGCTGGCAACATCCTGGGCAGATACAAGCCTGGCCAGTATCAGTTTCCTTGTTTAGGTGATGCCATGACTTTCTTGGGCAGATGCCATTCATACAGAGGAATGCCTACCATTAGGAAAAGCCAAACTTATAAAACAGATCAACAGGTGATTATAAAAGGGTTTAGAGCGGTCTTCCCTTAAACAGAAATTCCTTTTTAAAATGGTGTTTGACTTATAATTCCTTCTAGAATTCGTCTAATGTACAATGTGAAACAGAACACTAGTTCCTAAAACTGAGTTGTTTATAAGATTTTGCACATGAAATCCTAGTATCCTTGATTAAAGTTACTCTTCACAAATTCTAAATTTTAGACAAAGAATAAGTTGGCCTTATCTTGCAAGTATCAAGAAGGTACAATTTCATATATGTAGGGAAATAAAAATATTCTAATACAGATAGATTGTAAAAACATGCCTTCAAAATTTCTACTTTTTAGAAAGGCTAAAATCTGAATTTCATAGCTTTAACTTCACTAAGAAACAATTCAGACATTCTAAAGTCAATACAGTTATGAGAAAACACAACAAATACTGTAAACAGTTGAAGATCAAAGACCGCCTAAGTCACAAATAAAACTTTAAAAAATATTTCCTATGAGAACCAACATTTAACCATTTCTTCCTTCAAAAGAACAATCCATTCAGAGGTTGGGACTCTAAAGCAGGCAGGCCAGAGATGGCCCGTGGACCGCTGCCATCAGCATAAGCCTCCTCCCTCAGGCTTTGGAACAGGTTTGGTACAGTCAAGAGCATCCTCCTCGCAAGATCCCTCCTCCCGGCCCACCAGAATCACAGGAGTCAAGAGCACAGCAATCACACTTTAAAATGCTCACCAGCCCCTTGGGCAGTAAAGCTGGAGAACTGAGAATGGCGCAATAAAGCCTGGGTTTCAGTTTCTCCTCTACCAGTGTTCTTTCTTTGTAAGAAATTTAGCATTTCCGCACCTGCTTGAACATTTGGAAAAAGGAGATTGCTCAATAGCTCTAATTATTTGCAGCAGCAGGTGATCCTGGTTCCAATTCCACAGTGTTCTAGGGATTAGGTGACAGGAATTCTTGGCAAACTTGGAATCAAAAGGTTCGCATGTAAAACTCTGTTGTGTCAGTTTCTTAATGCATGTGCCCTCAAGGAGGCAATTCCACCCAATGAGGGGTTTAAAAATCAGAGGTTTTTCATAAGAAATACTGATTAACCAGAAAATGGTAATCATCTCTATACACAGTAGTATACAGCAATGATCCTGTCTATACATGCAGGATACAATATCCTTGGGCTTCAACCAGCAGGCCTCTGTACCTCTGTCCCTATGGCCCAGAGCTCAATTTTCATGCACCTGGAGTCTGTCAACATTCCCCTAAGTGAATGTATGAGTTATTCATTCATTCAAGCCTCTACTAAATATTAACGCCATCTCTAGACTGACAACTCCCAAGCATGCATCTCAAGCTCAGACTCTCCTGAAGCTCCTGCCTCGTTTTACCAACAGTCTACTCTATTTCTGCTTGCTGATGTTACCCATGCCCCAGAATTAACTCTGGATTAGGCCCCACTCTAAACCTCCCCTCCAAAGCTTTCCCATCTTTGTAATTCACAAGACTCTTCACACCACTGCTTAAGTAAAACCTTGAATGGTTCTCTCCCTGCCCTCATAATCCTAGATCTCCCCACCACCTCATAAGCAATCAGGAGGCAAATACTGTTGATCCTACTTCTACAGTGTACCTCAACTCTACCCACTTTTCTATCTTCAGCAGCACCATTCTTGTTCAAGCCGCCATCATCTCATGCCTGGAAGAGTCTCTTAACTGTCCTCTTCTCATCTGCTTTTGTTGCCCCAAGGTCCATCTTCCACGTAAGATGCAATCTTTTCAAACATAACTTAGATCACATCACTCCCTTACCTTAAAACCCTTGAATGTCTCTCAATTGCACTGTGACTAAAACCCAATTCCTTACCTCGTCCTCTAAGGTCCTACAGAGTTTGGTCCCTGCCTGCCTGCCTCTCCAATCTTACCTTGGGCCACCCACCCTCCTCCTCACTGACCCCATCCAGCCAGGCTGACCTTCTTACGTCTACTCAAATGTTCTATGATGACTCTTCCAACCCTAGGATCTTTACCCAGGTTATCACCTCTACACTAGCATTCCTTATACAGATGGTTCCTTCCCATCCTACAGTCTTAGTGAGACGGCACCCTGTAAGAAAGGCCTTCCCTGACCACTCAGCTAAAGTGGGGCTTCCATTTTAATTTCTTCACTATACCCTGTTCATTTCTTTCTTAACAGCTTTTTTAACAATTTGTAACTATATATTTACTTGTTTATCTAGCATCTTGCACACATTAACTTCTTCACTGAACGAATTAATGAGGAGAAACACCTTAGGCAAGGTTAATTACAAACATTTCCCACTGGCTAATGTAAGATGCAATAAAAAAGATCTTACCTTTTCAATTTTTTTCCTTTTAACAGGGGGGTCAAACCTATCGTTGACTCCAAAATACTGAGTAAGCTCCTTCAACTGGGTTTCACTTGAGGACTGTTCACTGTAAGAAGAGAGACAATAACTTATGTTTTACAAAATGTACTCACTTTTACATTTACTGTTTTTAATTGGTTACTACAATTATATTACATCTACTAGTTCTTACGTTTCAGAGGTTAAGTAGTTCAACTATTTGTACAAGTTCTACAATACTATCTAGGACAGACAGATATTTTAAATTCCACCTACCTTTGAGATTCTTCTTCGTTCTTCAATTTACCTGAAAAAGAATTCACAGTGTCAATACCAAGTATTCAGTTATTTCAAAATCATGGTTATTAAAAATTGTTGAGGGCATCCCTGGTGGCACAGTGGTTGAGAGTCCGCCTGCCAGTGCAGGGGACACGGGTTCGTGCCCCTGTCCGGGAGGATCCCACATGCCGCGGAGCGCCTGCGCCCGTGAGCCATGGCCGCTGAGCCTGCACGTCCGGAGCCTGTTGCTCCGCGACGGGAGAGGCCACAGCAGTGAGAGGCCCGCGTACCGCAAAAAAAAAAAAAAAATTGTTGAGCTCAATTGGTCACAATTTAATATTAGCACTATTGACAATTAACCTGAATTAAAACACCTTTTCTGGAGCGTTTTCTTTTTTTCTTTCTGGATCTTGAAGTTGAGATTTTCTGTTCAGAATGTTTTGTATGCAGTTCTTGAAATTTCTACATAAAAGTAAAAAAAAGAAAGAGAAGCAAATATGCTTTGAAGCAAAGCATACATCTGAAAGATAACATGTTAAGTAATAAAAAACTATAACATTTATAAAAATACAAATTTAATGAAACTAGTTCAGTTCTTCTTGAGATACTCTATTGTCTGAGACTTTCACAACCTGAGTTTTTATCTTCATTTATTTCCAAATAAGTCAATCTGATAATCTGAGGGTAAAAGTCAATGGCTCATAGACAACAAAGAGATTAAGACTGTATTATGTTAGGCCAAGTAGCTAATCCTACTAACTGTTTTTTTTTTCCTTCCTCTTTTTATGAAAAACAAAACAAAAATGAACATAAGTATCTGAGTGGCCAGTGAATTGCCCACAGACCCACCGAGTAATAAAATTATTCTGAGTCAATCTTCCGTGCCTATTTACCTCCCAAGAACATATACATTCTGACCACAGCAGAGACACACACAGGACCATGCACAAACACACAGGTACAGGCTTTAATAAGAACACGTCAGAGGAAACCTACATTCCACATATTTAAGGGAATTCCAGAGGGACACTCTTCATATGCATTTACATTTGCCTCTGCTTCAGTTTTTGGTCCATCTGTAGGGATATCTGAGACCTCTGTGTTTGTAATGGTCCCATCTTCTTTACCTTCTTCTAAGTTAAGTTCAGAGCTCTCTACTGTGGCTTCATCATCAGAATTCAACTCAACATCACTTTCATTTAGGCCAGGAGGTAGCAGCCCACTCCACATCTTTTCTGCTAAAGGGAAAAAAATGAATTAAGACGTATAAAGTAGACATGGAAAGAATTTTAAAACCGTTAAAAGATACCCCAGGAACCTAATAATTATACCAATGGTTTGGGAACAGTCTATCTAAACTTTTTTTTTTAATTGGTATAAAGTGGGATGTATCCTCCATATTAAGATACTTTAAATATTTTGCTTGTATAAATTTTTTGTTCTTTTGGCGGTATGCGGGCCTCTCACTGTTGTGGCCTCTCCCGTTGCGGAGCACAGGCTCCGGACGCACAGGCTCAGCAGCCATGGCTCATGGGCCCAGCCGCTCCGCGGCATGTGGGATCTTCCCGGACCGGGGCACAAACCCGTGTCCCCTGCATCGGCAGGCGGACTCTCAACCACTGCGCCACCAGGGAAGCCCTGTGTGTATAAATTTTTAAAAAGTGTATTTTCAGCAAGTTTGTTACAAGACACACCTACAGATGAATGACTTAATGACAAGAGAACCTCGATTCTCTAATATATGGATAATCTTGTCCAAAGAAAAGAGGAAATTCAGTAAAAGCATTCACTGCTCAAGAATGTTAAGAGCCTAACAATATACACTGCAGGCAACTTAAGAATTATAATACATATTTCAAGCTGTAACAGTTAGAGAAGAAAATAAAATTGGATGTTTCGCCTGTATTTGAACGTACGAAACTTCAGGGGACTACAGAGTAGGAAAAGTATTACTCAAAGGAAAAATTTTAAGCTATGCAGGTAGTTTGAGAAAAGTATGGTGGTAAAAAGGATGTCCTAGTTTTACATTTTATACTGCTTGCTAAAGTAATACTAAATGGAGTACAATCCTAACAATTTAACAAAAACATACAGCTTTTTAAAATAATACTGTATTTGGGAAACAAGTTAAAGTTCAGGGTAATTCTTATCATTAGTTATACAGCCCATTGGTAGAGAGAACCATTAACTACTGTTAAGTCTAATAAAAATGATTTTTAAAAACTGAGGTTGTAATCATTTGCTAAAATTATAATTGAGTACATTTTCACTATTAATCTCCACGACACAGTCTATTTTAGCATACGTAAGGAGCCAAAACCAGTTCATTCAAAAGAGGCCTAGAATACAGAAGTTGGCTGTACTGCTCAAGATTTACTATCAACTTAAAGGAATAAAATAGAAAGATGGAAATCTTTTTTGCTAACCTTTCTGCCCCCTATTGCGTTAACCTAGTAAGAAAACCACCAGCATTGTCTCTGAGACAAAGTATCACGGGATTTTGCATTACTCTGAAAAATGGATGCCTGATAACTTTTAAGGACCTCCTCCCAAGTCCAAAGAATCAGCTCTCACTTTTCAGTCTGGGTCCAGCCTCATAGTTGCTGGCTCTCTGAAACATCCTCACCAAAACATTCTCTTGGCTTTTTAAGAGGAAGGGTTCTAACATCTAATTACTCCAACTGTAATCCTGACTCCACCATATATTAGTGGTATGAGGAAATCATTTTTAACACCTCTGACCCTCAGTTTTTCCATCTGTTTTACAGGAATAACTATATTGCACACAGGGTTATTCCGAGGATGAAACAAGATAAGCTATTGAAACACTCAACACAGTGTTTAGGAGGTTCTGGGGACTTGATCAATGCTAAGTTCTTTTTGCCATCATTATTATTACTTCTGTGGCCAGGTACTGCATTTTTATCATTTCTATCATGGGTGGCAGCATCCATAAGGTAGCTTTGAAGTTTCTAATGTTTAAGGTGCATTCACTTAGCAATTGATGCAAGTCAGTTACTTCCTTGATTTCCACAGTCTGACTGAAGTTTCAATTAAAAATGCTGATGTCTTTTTCTGAATGGAGCAATAAAACCAGAAGCAAATTACCAGGAAGATAAATGGAACCTAAGCTTCAAGGCTCTTCTTTTTCACAGGTCCTTCCAAAGCACTATACCTGATTTTCTATATTTTAAATCTGTATTCCTTTTTTTAAAGAGGAGACCTCAAATTACATAAGCTCCAAGCCCTATAAAAGCTGGATCCATCCCTAAATCTGGCCTGAGGATTTTAAAAGTTGGAATGGAGGTTATGTTGAGATATTCTGTTAGCACAAAGGACATAGTGTAAAACATGCCAATATTGAAAAACAGGTGTTGTGCTATTAATAAAAATATTTCTACTGTTTTGAGAAGCAGGGGGAGGGGAGTGATAATAAGCTCCATCATGACTTTGCCACTGACATAATATACCTTCAGGCTCACTATCCCATTTCAGGACTTAAGGACAGTAACAAGTTTCAGAGTTAGCTTTCTTAGCACCAACTGGGGTTCTACGTTCGAAGCCACTGTTTCTCCTCCCTGTCCATAGCATCTTTTACATGCCCACTGTGTGCCAGGCACTCTTCAAGACATAGGAACAGCAGTATACAAAACAGGCAAAAATGCCTAACCTCATGGAACCAACATTCTATACAAATGGCAAGCTTCTGTCCATCAGCCAAGTACCACTCAGCCCAGGCTTCAGCTGTGACTGCTCAGATGGGCACAGTTCCTCCACTGGGCCACTGCTTCAGTATCTCCACAGGGTGACTCTGTGCTCTGGGCACCCAAATGGGTTTCACCTTGGGAAGCAGTGCCAGTTGCCGTGGACAGGGCATGCCTTTCCTCATCAGCCCTCAATCATTTCTGATCACTTTTGGACTTTCTCAAAATCATCTATTTTTAGTAAGTTCTTGCTGATGTGGCATTAAGAACTGTCCTCAGGATGCCACTGACTGGTATGATAGTTTCTTGTGTGTGCCCACAGGGGAAAGAAATTAAAATAACTTTTAAAAAGTGAACTCTATGTCCAAATCCATAAAACAAGGCAAAGTTCAAATAAGGCGTGTTTCTGAACTTAATTCCTAAATATGTCTAGAGTGACGTGCCCTTCTCCTCTGACCCTAAAACACATACACGCGCAAATACCAGGGCAACTTGGTGGCCACGGACAAACACAGATTATTCACTGAGGAGCGTGCAAAGTGGAACTGCCCACCTGAACAGCAGCTTGGCTGCAAATCAGCCAATATGGAGTGGCTGCTTCGTGACCTGTTCTAGGCTTACGTTCCAAAACACTGTCTTTCTACTCAAAGCACTTACATGTTATTTATACATTTGTATTGTACTATGGTACCAACTGGTCCTATCAGGCCCCCTGTTACTTCTGTTGTGTTCGTCTGGATTGTGATTCTCCAGTTCTTTGAAGTGCTGCTCACCTCATACCTTCCAGAGTGCATTCCTTCATTTTAAAGCAGATCACTCCAAATTACCCTTCACATGTGAAAATTACTCAGCCATTCTCAAGAGACGTGGCATACCAGAGAACAAGAAACAAGTTTTTTAGTGTAGATGATAGCCAGGTCTATATAACAGTCCGTGTATCAATACATAAATTTTCACGTTTTTAGCCTGCACGTCAAATATTTTAGTTTTATCACTTAGCCCCAAAGAAGATGTAAATCATTCAGAATCCCTTTTTTCTCTATGGTTTTGAGTATCAGCCTCTCCATTTCATATTGGAGAGATTTTTCCACTTCCACAATTATTCTACAAAAAAAATTCTGTGTATGCTATGCAGAACACATCTTTAGTCCAGGGCTGACATGATTTATGATGAACAAAAAATATTTATGTATCATCCTCATCTCAATGGCTGGGCTTTCTTTTGCCCGTGGAAACCAAACACAGTCACTACACTTAGCACACCTGGGCAGATGGCAATGCACCTAGAAGAACACGACACAGCTCAGCAGTTCCTCAGCTTAGGTTTTCCCAAAGTTTTATGAAGACAGTAATGGAGGTCTCTAAGCTAATTTCAATATTCAAAAAGCCCAATATATTTTATTATCCCTCAAACAATATCATCCACCTTTAGGTCAGGAGACTTAAATTCAATGAAACATTATTCTTCACCACACATTCATTCAGCAGAGACTCTGATTGGTAGCTACAGACCTGATTTTTATTAAAAAAAAAAAACAAGAACAAAAATTAATGAATATAGTTTAGTGGACACAATCTTTCAAAATATAGCATCCATGGAGATATCAAATTATAATAAAAGGAGTTCTAGGTTGTGAAAGGATTGAGAACCAGTGGTAGAGCAGCAGAAAAAACACTGTTTTGAAAGTCAGAAGATGGGTTCCTGGTCCTGAACAACAAAATTGTGGGGAAGACACTGCATCTGTCTGGGTCTTCATTCTTAGCTATAACATGAAGGGTGTGATCAGATCTCTGGGATGTCCTGCTGCTCTAAAATGATTCTTTATGGATCTCAGCATTATACGTGCCCAAATGCCCAGAATCACCTCATTCTTTGCTGTAACATTCCATCCTCTCGCAGTCAGAACAATACTAATTAAACCTCAACACCCCAGAAGATAGGGGTTCTCTCCTAACCCAGCCACCACAGGCAAGCTTGCTACTTTTCAGTAAGACTCTGCACTTCAGAGAGAACACCTAAAAGATGCTCTGCAGAAAGGGAAAGAAACCCCAATTGTGACAGAAGAAACAGAAACAAAACGAAAAACAAAGCAGGTCACCGCTATACATGGCATACAAACAATGTGACAGGCACCGTTTTACCCTTAATCCTCACCAATGACCCTTCCACTAGGAATTATTATCTAAACCCCTTTTACAGATGAGGTAACGGACTCACCTAATGCACTGTAATCCACTTATCTTAGAAAAATAGAACTCTATAGCTTGAAAACTCTATAGAGAACAAACTTTAAATAGTAATATATTCTTGGTGACACAGATTAGAGAATGGGTCTGAAGAATGTCTCCAGCCTGTAATTCTGTTAACATTTGTTAACAGTGAGAATTTTCTTCTCACTTTCTAAGGGCAGAAAGCTATGTAAAATGCTAGGCTAAATCGCATACATTGAAGTCACATTCAGAGGTCTGGGTAATAATGTCACATTTTCTGGAAGTCCAGGCAACTGTGTATAACCAAAACTCAATCTGAGCAGTTTACTGGGTAAATGTCTCCTGCCTCTAATACTCCAGAATTTCAATTCCATTTTTACCAAATGAAGCTGTCTTATTTCCCAGATTTTATATTCAATTAGAAATAAAGAAATCTGAATCTTGTCTGATCTGAATTTAATCTTACTTGTATGACAGCCACAAGCCACCACCCACCAATCTCAAAATTGTGTTAAATAATTTACACAATAATCAGTTTCTGTGACTGGGAATTAGTTACTTAACTGAAATACTTTTAAGCATGCTGTCATCAACATTACTGTAAATGTCCTATTCATGTTTATGAAATAAATACGTTCCCTTTTCTCAAAAAGGTAGAGAAAGTACAACTGAATCACAGGCCTGACTTCGGATTTAAGTTACCAATCTGATTACCCTGATAAACTATTTAGCAGGATTTTGCATGTATGCATATGTTTTCATCAAAGTGAGTGTTTTGTTTAGCCAACACTTCCCCAGACTCAAAACCCTACACGGAAGGATTTACAAGTAACCAATAACACTTCGAGGCTCATTGCAAATTGGATGCAGCTGTGAGAATACTTACAGGGTGCAAGACTGCAACAGGGTGGCTCTAGAAAGGTACATCTTTTCCTGTTTGGCTGCACAACCCGTAACTCTGCAGGCTCTCCGGCAGCAGGGTCACACTCCGATCCCCGAGCGGGAAGAATCCCCTCCCAGCACAGAACTAAGCGTTGCAAATTCTGATGTAGGACGTCTAGCTTGCTGACACTCCCATTGACTGCAGCTGTCTTCCGGGTACAGCAACTGTAAACCAGAGACTGTTTCCCGGACCGAAAGTCTGTCTCCTCGTCCCCTCTCACTCTGGCTGAGGTGGGACGAAGAACCCCTCTCCCACCAACAGGACGGGGAAGGCGCTACGACGCCGGGTCCAAGCAAAGCGGAGGCCAGCTCCGCCGACTCTCCCGCGGGCCCGGCCAAAGGGTTGGTAGGCTCCGCGGAGAGGCTGTGAGGCCACCCACGCTGGCTCCCTCGCTCCCCGCACCCGGCCTTCCCAGGTCCGTCACACCAGAGTCCGGGCCGCCCGGGAGCCAGCCCAGCCACCAGCTCTACTCACCGATCCGTAGCCGGCCGTCCAGCAGACATCTTAAGACCCGTCAACATCGCGCCTTCTCATTGGCTCCGGAATCTCAGCCAATAGGCTAAGGCCTTTCTGGCCTGGGGTCGCCATGGAAACCGGCTGCGCTCAGCTATGCTTTTAAATAGGCCGGAATGGGTTGATTCCTTTCTTTCTACTTCTTTTCTCCCAGCTTTTCTCTCGCCGTTTTCTTCTTTCTTCTGGACGTTTTTAAAGACTCTTCTTTCTCCATTCCTTACCGTACTCCGTGGTGAGGAAAATGCTGGCTTAGACCTTGAACTGAGTTCATTCCCCAAGGACGGAAAATCACTGCAGAAGCTCTCTAGACCCTTCTGGGAACGTTTCCATTCATACACCCTTTTCCCCTCGCTCCCTTCCTTACTTTTTTTTCTTTCTGTACATATTTATTGAGCAGGCACCCTGCCAGCCTATGTTTAGAGCAAAATGATCCCTACTTCTGCTCTAGTGGCGCTTACCGTTTGGTGATCGTGGCAGCTGCTTCACTGACCAGCTATGTGGCCTTGGCCAAAAGCTCATTGAGCTCCTTTTCCGTGGCAGCCACTGTCTTAGGCTCTGAGAAGGGGCTTAGGGAAGCATAGAAAATAAGCAAGGGAAAAAAAAACAGGGGGGGAAAAAAAAGCTCTATGAGGAAAATAAAACAGCATAATATGACCGTGATGGGAGTGGGGCTATTTTAGAAATGCTTCCATTTTCTGAAATAACGTTCTGTAATAATAATAAGAAGAACACATTCCTATTTTCTAGTGTTGTAACGATTATGTAACAAAATACACATAAACCCCTTAAGGCACTACCTTGCCCACAGTAATTTTCAGTTGGTATTGGCATTAGCCTTATCAGTAATGCCTTTCTTTGAAGCATTCTAAAAATGTGAAAGAATTTTGTATTGCACTCAATAACATATCACAATTTAGTATAAACCGATGTTTAAGTGTAATACTTAACTATCAACTACCTCACCCCCATTGTTTTCCAGAACATGTGCCAGGTGTACGGAGTAGTTTTCTATGACCCCAGAATCACAGCAAAACCTGAAATGACAAGTTTGGGTTACTAAAGTCCTTTCTCACACTCACATTCTCTGATGCTCGATCAGAAGCTGGGCTGAGTGGTGTGAGGATCTGTATGAAACTCTCCTGGCCAAATGTGTCCAGCCCCTCAATAGTGTTTTTCCCTGAATCCAATCCATAAAAAGTAGTTAAAGAGAGGATGTGTAGGAAAATGCTGTTGTGACTGTTACATTGTGCCTTTTAATTGCTATCTTAGTCTGCTGGGGCTGCCATAACAAAATGCCACAGACTAAGTAGCTTACGCAACAAAAATTTATTTCTCACAGTTCTGGAGGTTGGGATGCCTAAGATCAAGGTGTCAGCAAAGTAGGTTTCATTCTGAGGCCTCTTCTCTTGGTTTGTAGGCAGCATCCATCTTGCTGTGCGCTCATAAAATCTTTTTTGTGCAGTTGTGTAAGGAGAGGGAGAAGGAGAGAGAGAGAATGGGGTGGGTGGGGGCAGGAAGGGCTCTCTGGTGTTTGTTTTTTCTTAAGAGGACACAAATCCTATTGGATCAGGGCCCTACCCTTATGGCCTCTTTTAACCTTAATTCCTTAAAGGCCCCATTTCCTAATACAGCCACCCTGGGGTTAGGATTTCAACGTATGAATTTTAGGGGTACACGAACATTCAGTCCATAACAAATGTTGATGGTGGAAGTGTAGCCAAAATGGGGAAAGAGAGCACAGAAGGGGAAGAACTGAGACATGAGGTAGGAAGGAAATACTGTTGGCCTGTTTCAGAACTATCTGGATTGTTTCTACATATGTTCCATCAAAGAATACTCATTGTTTAGTGCATATAAATGTGCAAGGGATAGAGGGGGAATATAATTATAAGTACTCCAAAGACTTACAGCCACCAGATTTCACATCAAAGGTTTCTGGAAAGTCCTACTCCAAAAATATGTAGTTTAAAATGTTCTCAATGTTAACTTGAGAATTCTCAAATATCTGATTGTTTACTCTTATGACATTATTGGATTCCTATAATAAACGTAAATAGCTCAGACCTTTCTTCCAGTTTTGCTTGTAAGGCTTTCAGTCTCTGAATATTATTATTTTGCCAGTTTTCTGGAGGAAGTGTCAGTCATTTGATTTATTTTAATCAATAAATTTACCTTCCCTCCAGCAAATTCCTGTCCTGGAACCCTGCCAAACCATGCATTTTGTGAATGAAATACTTGTATTTGTGAGATTTCTATGAAACATAGAATTATTGAATATCTTTTACTAAATCATAGTGAATGTGATGCAGCTATGAATTCTGCTTGAATTGTGCTGCATCTGGCACTAATTTCAAACATGTAAGTTTCATTTAAATTTTCAAACATCTTAAAAAGCATAAAGCAGTTTTTCTTTGCCAAGAAATATTATAGTTTATGAATCATTTTTCCTTATATTTAGTAATTTTTATCCTTAGTGTAGAGATTACAAGTCACACTCATAAAAGATTAATTGTGGAGGTCTTTTTTGACAGCTGCTAAATCTCTGATTGTTGAAAATTTCCCCAAATATAATGAAATCCCTAAACTATTTCTCAGTTGTAAAAAGTGAATATGACTTTGTTGAACAAATGATAAATGTGCTTCTTGCTGAAACTGAGAAAGAGAATAGTTATTTCCATCTGTACAAAATGCCTCATTGAAGAAAAAGTAGTCTAGTGACTTATGTGAAAGAATAGAAACGAGAGTTCTGAACTTTAGGAATTGTGTAACAATTTCTTTATCTGAATTTTGTTTTTAATTTGCAAATTGAAGCATCGATAACAATGTTAATCTTCGAAGAATATGTTGAACAACTAACACTATGACATCAGCAACTGTTGATATTGGAGGAAACAAAATTTCTGTAATATAGGATGTTGCCAAAGAAAAGTACTTTTTCTTTATTCATCATGTCTGGTACTTTCAAATTCTTCAGGTCCAATAGGTTGTACATAGGAAGATAGGAGAGGAAGCATGTCTGGGTGCTAGGTATTTTGCAACTAATGTCATATAAACCTATGGTGTACTTATTATTGTATCCATTTGACAGACAAGGAAATTAAGGCTTCAAGAGTTTTAAGAAACTTGCCTAATGTCACACAGCTAGTAACATGCAAAACTAAGGTGGGGACGTTTCACTGCACTCTGAGGCTCCTGCTCTTTCTTCTGTCACACGCTACCCCTTTTACAGTGAAGTTCCTGATAAATCCACGCATAGTGCAGTCAATAAAGTGTAGACATCATTAATACCCAGTGGGATGTGTACCGGGTGGGAGCTCGTGAAAAGAGAGGCTTCAGGAGCAAAATGTGTCTTCTCTCTCCATCTCTCTTAGTACCTAGTGAGTGATCAAATCCCATCAGAGGCATCCTCTTCAATCATTGCTGGATTGCTGCATTGAAATCTATGTTACTTTCCCTTTTCCTAACACCTTCATCCTCCGAAACAGCCCATTGCCTGATTAACCTCTCTAAATGAAGGAACACGTGTAAAGCTTTTGACACTCATCCTAGCATGTAGTCAATAGTCAATAAACATTAGTTCCCTTCCCTTACACATAAAAACTGTGTGTGTGTGTGTGTGTGTGTGTGTTTTGGGGCAAGGGGAATTGAACAGGCAGAACACAGAGGATTTTTAGGGCAGTGAAAATACTCTGTCTGATACCATGATGATAGATACATTTGTCCAAACTCATAGATTGTACAACCAAGAGCAAACTGTAATGCAGACTGTGGGTGATTTACGATGTGTCAGTATAGGTTCATCATTTGTAACAAATGTACCGTTCTGGTGGGGGATATCAGTCATGGGGGAGGGGCAATTCATATAGGAAAGAATCTCTATACCTTGCCTTCAGTTTGCTGTGAACTTAAAACTGCTCTGAAGATAATGTTTTAAAAAATCATAAGACGAATAACACTTCATTACTTGTGAAAATTACATGAAATCCAAATTTTAATGTCCATAAAGTTCTATGGGAACACATACACACAAAAAAACTGAGTACATAAATGTTGACAGATTATCAGATTACTCTGTCAACATCTTCGTGGTCTTTACTATGTGCCCAATGCTTAGCACTTTGCTAAGGTTTGAGGAGAATACAAATGAAGTATATGAACTGACGTGTCAAGAAGTTTGTAGTCCAAGACATATAATGAGGTTATAAATGATACGTTTTACACTATAAGTACCAAAACTATGAGGTCCATGATGTAAGTAGAAACTACAGAAGTCCCAGAATGGAATTCAGAATGTGCTATTTCCTTTGCCTGGAATACCTTTCTCTTTTCTAGCTGTTGAACTTCTTTTCATTCTTCAAAACCTAGATCAAATATTACCTTCTAAGTTAAACCTTTCCTGACTCATACTGTTCATGCCTTTCTTCTCTGTGTGTTCATAACAGTTGATACACAGCAGAACTAGGGCTTCAGCACACTGAAATACAATTATTTGTCATAGGTGAGTCTTCCCTGATGGATTGTGAACTCCTTTGAAGGCACAGTACTTGTCCTGCAGTAGGTGCTCAGTAAATGTTTGTGGAGAGGATGGATGGATGATGGAAGTGGAGATGTCAAGGCATGAGATGAAGAGAAGTGGGGACGGAAGAAGAACTACAGTCCTGCAGCCTTTGGAACAAAAACCACATTCACAGAAAGATAGACAAAATGAAAAGGCAGAGGGCTATGTACCAGACGAAGGAACAAGATAAAACCCCAGAAAAATAACTAAATGAAGTGGAGACAGGCAACCTTCCAGAAAAAGAATTCAGAATAATGATAGTGAAGATGATCCTGGACCTCGGAAAAAGAATGGAGGCAAAGATCGTGAAGATGCAAGAAATGTTTAACAAAGACCTAGAAGAATTAAAGAACAAACACCTAGAAGAATTAAAGAACAAACAAACAGAGATGAACAATACAATAACTGAAATGAAAACTACACTAGAAGGAATCAATAGCAGAATAACTGAGGCAGAAAAATGGATAAG